TAGATTCAGAGATCTCTGTGAAAAAAAGATATTTTAAAACGATGTTGCCCTCATTTGAAAACATTTGTTTTTCCAGGAATATTGGGATGGGAACATCAACCGCGGCAGCCAGAGTTGGAGCATTTTGTTCACCGTATATAGTTTACTTGGTAAGTAGGTTTGGGCAATGATTTCAGTGATATTTTTAGCTTGTTTAAAGATCATTATTAATTCACTGAGTCGTGATAACTATAGACCCGTTTTAAATCCTTTTGTATAGAAAATAAACCAGTTCACTTCCTTTCATGGGTCACTTTCTGCACGTGATCCTTTTTCGTGGAATGATCTGGCTCAGCCAATCATGTGCAACCCGTCACGTGATGCACAGTAGATCACCATAATGTCGCGCTTAGCCTGGCAGAAAAACAATTTACGTGCTTCTCGAATTACGTGCTTCTCGAAGCACAGAGCAGAATAGAAATCCTCCTCACACTCTGTAGTTTATCAATTAATTCCACTTTAATGTTCATGCTCCACGTAATCTTGTAATCTTTTTCCTTTAGTAAAATGTATTGCAACATTCTTGTATTAAATTCCTCACGAAAACTATATGATTAGCCTTTCTTTATTTTGTGTATACTCTACACTTTGCTGATTGGATCCATCAGGCCAGCTCAAGTACTTTTGCATTGTCTGTTGGTCCTCACAGAAATTAAGTGTCTCTTGCAATTAATAATATGACTAGATTCCTGCGTTGTTTGCTGGTCAAATCTGAAAATAGTTTTGACAATACCTGTTGTAGGACAATATCCACCGCCTGTTGCCTTTTGCCGTTATGGGAGCCAACGCCCTCCTGTGTGGCTTGCTGTGCTTAACGCTACCTGAGACTGCAAACCAACCCACTCTTGAAACGATTGAAAATAATTCGACGACCACGAGCGGGAATGAAGCTAAGGAAGACCTCAACAAAAACAGCGGAGAAGAGGAGAAGGCAGCTTTGGTGTCTGGCGAGGTTGACCCTAACAACACTGTGTAAAGTGCTGCCAATCACTGTAGATCTCTTTTAGAAAATTAGATATAGCTCTTACTACAGCGCGTGTATGCAGCATAACTGCA